ACCTCAAGACTGAGCCTGATTCTATAATGGAACAAAACCGTGAGGCTCATTGAGAGCTGGGAGTAGATTTGTAACATGGATCTCTAAGGTCCACAGTAGGCTTAGCAGCTTCCACTTTTGTGTTTTGGGGAACCCTGAGCCTCCAAATGAGACAGTCACTACTCTGACCCACAAAACTGTGGGGAAGTAAAATTGGGGGCATTTGTTACACAGCAACAGATAACGGAAACATGTTGCCCTATAACAAATACCAACAACTCCCAGCTCACGACTGTCAGCTCCAGTTGTTCGTGTGGACAGGTGCTCACTCCTTAGCAGGGCCCAGTGATGCCCAGGAGCTGCTTTTCCAAGTCCTCTGCAGAGCCTTGTTCCAGGTGCCTTGAGGTCTCCGCCATGAGTCTCCCACTGGCATTTCCCAGAGATTCCCTGTGGTCTCCTAATCTGCCATGGAGATCTCTAGCCTATTGGGATTTGTCAGCTCATGGCTTGGTTTGAAAGCTTGCCCTGGAGCCTGGACCTTCTATACAACCCTGAGGCTTGGCAGCCTTTTGGGGGCACCTAACATAGAGGCTGAAGTTGAATGCTCAAGTGTGGTATATGTTTCCCGAAAAATCTAAATCAAGTGCTGGGCCTCTTTCTTAGTGGTCTGGGAAGCAATGACTTACGTTTGACCTTTCTCCAGGCCATTGGACCCCAGAAAATATCACAGATGTGGGAGGACCCTGAGTTTTTTTAGGTTTTTTCTTTCACACGTTTCATGCATGTTTCATATCATTGCACTTACAGTTTTTGCCACTACTGTGCACCAGGTACAGTAAGTCTAATCTTGCCAATGTAGTGGACCTTGCACAGCTACGTATATTGTCAGGTTATCCACGTCCCTGTGAAGTATTTTGGGATGGGCCAGGAGAGCTCCCCCAGACCTGGGGCAAGGGAATGAATGTGCACTTCTCTCATTACCACGAATGTCAGTGACCTTTGGTCTCCTTTAGTGATGAGGATTGAAAAGACCACACTAATCTGGACCATGGCTGTGAACCAACTACCAGAGGTTGGGATATTTGTTCAGGTAAATGTGCTCTGTCTGGCCCAGCAGCCATGAGTAGGGCTACTGCATAAGTTCACGGTGTTTGTTCAGGTAAATGTGCTCTGTCTGGCCCAGCAGCCATGAGGAGGGCCACTGTGTAAGTTCACGGTGTTTGTTCAGGTAAATGTGCTCTGTCTGGCCCAGCAGCCATGAGGAGGGCCACTGCGTAAGTTCACGGTGTTTGTTCAGGTAAATGTGCTCTGTCTGGCCCAGCAGCCATGAGGAGGGCCACTGTGTAAGTTCACGGTGTTTGTTCAGGTAAATGTGCTCTGTCTGGCCCAGCAGCCATGAGGAGGGCCACTGCGTAAGTTCACGGTAGTGCGCTCCTGTGGTTTTAATGTTTGTATTTCCTCCAAAACTCAAGTTGAAGCTCAATCCCCAAAGCAATGGTTTTAAGACCTGGGGCCCTTAGGAAGAGATTAAGTCATGAGGGCAGAGCACTCATGAATGGGATTAACAACCTCAGAAAAGGGCTGGACGGAACCAGCTGGGCCCCTTCTGCCCATCCTTCTTTCTGCCATGGGCGGACACAGAGTGTGTTCCCTCCAGAAGATGCAGCAACAAGTAAAGACCGAGTCCCCACCAGGGCGCAAACCTGCTCGTGCTGTGATCTTGAACTTCCAGGCCCCAGAACTGTGAGAGATGAATTTCTGTTTCTTAGAAAATGAATTATCCAGTGCCAGGTATTTTGTTATAGCAGCATGAACAGACTGAGACACACGCCATTCTCACCTTACTCTTTCTGGCTTTTGCAGGGGCCATGCAAGTGAGTTAAATAGGGACAGGCTGCGGACCGTCAACCGGGGTACTGCTGACTTATTATCTTGGCTGGGAGGGGGCAGTTTCAGCGGCCTCTGTCTGGCTCTTCCTACCATAAGGGTTTATTCCATCCAACAGAAAACCACTGTTGAAGGTTCTCCTCATCTGCACGAGCAGTAGCTCAAATGCCAAAATGCAGGATTATGCACCAGGTTTGGCAGCTAGAAAGGTTTTTAGTGAATTTTTTCAAAAACAATTTCATTTGTGGGTACACATAGCTGAATCTCAGCATAGAGAAGTGGTTAGGAAGTGAGAAAGAGGAGGGAGGGAGCAAAAAGACTGGGCCCTTCAGAGGTTTGAAAGCCAAGGGAAGAAAGCAGAGAGGATGAGGAGAAAGCATCTTGAGGATGGTGGAAAATCAAATTTGTGTGAGGTTTGATGGAAGGTTCAAAGCAGGAGAGAGAAGCCAGAGACAGGAGAGGTTGGAGATGACAGTGGCACAGGATTCTAGAGGTTAGCAGGTGATCCTCATGCCCAAAAGTGGAAGCCAGCCTCCCATCTTGCAGCAGGGAATTGGTTAGGTGAGGCTGCTCCTGATGAATCGTGCATAGCTTCTCTTCTAAGTAACAAGCAAAGTCAGGGAAAGGCAAGAGAAAGGACACATAGTAGGTGCTGCCATGAGCCATGCAAATACTCTCTTCCAGACTGTGTCCTCCAAAATTGTTGAAATTGAATCTTCAGTATGACAGTATTAAGAGGTGGAACATTTAGAAGAGAATTAAGTCATGAAGGCAGGGCTCTCATGATGGGAATAGCGCCCTTATAAAAGGCATGAGGGGGCTGGGCGCATTGGCTCATGCCTGTAATCCTAGCACTTTGGGAGGCCGAGGCGGGCAGATTGCTTGAGCTCAGGAGTTTGAGACTACTCTGGCCAACATGGTGAAACCCTGTCTGCACTAAAATTCAAAAAATTGGCAGGGCATGGTGGCCCACACCTGTAGTCCCAGCTATTCAGGAGGCTGAGGCAGGAGAATCACTTGAACCCGGGAGGCAGAGGTTGCAGTGAGCCGAGACTGCGCCATTGCACTCTAGCCTGCATGATAGAGTGAGACTCTGTCTTCAGAAAAAAAAGGGGGGCTTGAGGGAACCGGTTCACTCAGGAAATGGGTTCACAACATACAGGGCACCTTCTTGGAAGCAGAGAACAGCCCTTACCACACACTGGACCTTCTGGTGCCTCACTCTCGGATTTTGCAGCCTCCAAAACTGAGAGAAATAAATTTTTATTATTTACAGATGACTCAGTCTCCAGTGTTTGGTTATAGCAGCACAAACAGACTAAGACGCAGATTGTCTGTCTCTGTGAGTTTTGACACAGTGCGCTTGTCAGAAAGTGTGCCATACATCATGGGACGGAATGTTTGGACTGTATGAAGGAAAAGAATGATGCATGTGCAGTGGTGGACAGTGGACAGGGGACCATCTTTACGTGAATATGAGCTAGTGTGAGAAATGTTAGGTGGTTTTATGAGGTGGGGAGGGAGAGCATGGCCGTGAACAGTAAAGTCACAGCGTGATCCTCAGGCAGTGAGAGCCAGATGACAAGAGACAGGGTGAGGTCTATTTCCCCACAGATTGGCATACTTGACCTCAAATCTTGAGGACTGGCTCTTGCAACCTTCATAGAGATGGGATTGCTGCAATCATGTGGCTCGTGGGAAAAGAGGAAAAAGTAAAAAAAATTACCATATTCCAGAGACTACTCAGGCCCACACACTATGACAGGCGCTCCATGTGCATCAGCTCAATGCAACCTCCTTAAACTCTAATGAAGTGTGTGTTACTATCCTGTTTTCAGATGAGAACTTTGAGGCTTGGATGGGTGAAGTAACTTGTTCATAATTAACAGAAGCAGATTCAAAGCCAGGTCTCCCGACACCAAACCTTTCCCCAGCACACTCATGGCCTGGAAGTCACATCACCCTGCCCAGCTGCCATTGTGCTCAGAATTCTTTTCCAGGTGATCCATCCTCTGAGCTAAGATTTAGGTTCTCAACTTTGGTTGCCTATTAGAAGCTCCTGAGGAATCTTTAAGATTCCTGGCACCCCGACTGCTATTCATACAAATGAACTTGTAAATTGCAGCTACAACCCAGCCGTCCATGCTTTTAAGGGTTTTCAGCTGAGGCCAACATGCAGCCAGGGTGATGATGTCATGCTCATTTGGGCACCTCTTTAGCTGCAAATACTGCAGGTCAGAACATTCTGTTGTCAGCCACCAGGGTCCTCATTGCAGGTCCATTTACCAGCGAATAAGAAAACAACAGGGAACAGGATGTGAGCCGGTCAGGTCCTGAGCAGGTCATTTTTACTGTGGGTGTGGGTTTCTTGAAAGATCCAGGGCATAGGGACATTAACAGGGAGGCCTGGACATGGGGATATAGAGGCAGGTGAAGAAAGGGAGAGAAAGGAATAGAAACAGACATCCGTTTGCCCCAAGTCAAGATGTAGCTGGTGATAACAGTACCAGTTATCGGGGCTGAATGCTCTATGCGGATTTTACGGTTTAATTTATGCAATAACTCAATGGAGTTGGTACTTTTAATACTTCCATCTTGCAGGATACTAATATCTAGAGAGTTTATATGGTTTGCCTACATCCGCACAGTGAGAATTATTTAGTAGATCCAGGGTTTGCACCCCAAAGGTTTGAGTCCAGAGCCAGAGTCTGTAGCCATATTGCTCTCCTGGGTTCTCATAGCTGAGGCTGCGCCCAGCTGCACAGCCACTGAGGATGGTAGAACAGGCAGGACCCACCAGCACTGGAGAAGCCCGAGGGGCCGGCGCCTGATTCAGGTGGGGGTTCGGCTCAGGAGTTCTGCGCTGGAGGGAAGTGGGGTGGGCAGCGGCAGGATGGGGGTGTTGGGGCTGGGTTCACACTGCCCTGAGGGGTAGCTCCTCTCTCTGATGGCTGGAAATGCTGGGCATGGGGTGATTCTCCAGGGCACAGGTATAGCTGTCAAACAGGCGGTGAGCGGCAGGCCCCAGTTTTGGGGACCCCCCTGTCCAGAGTGAAGGCAGGTGAGCAGGGGACCCCAGTCAGGCGGCACCGGGAGTCCTAAACTTGCTGGCTGGGCTCATTCCCTACTCCATCATGCCCAGGATGCTTCCAGTGCTGGCGAGGTGGGCCTTTGAGAGGGATCCGCGTGGGCAGAGGCAATCGCAGGCAGCCCCGCAGGCCCAGGCTGGGAAGCTCCGCTGCAGGAGCGCGGCACAGCCCCCGGCTGAGCAGTCCCGCCCACACCGGGCACCCGTCCCGGTGCCTCCTCGCCTTCGCGTCTGCAGCATCCACCAGCCGCGCCGCCGCTGTGCCTGGTTTCCCGGCCGCACGGGGTGGGGCTGGCTGGGCAACTTCTCTAAGACGAGCCCCGCGCATCGGGCCGGGCGTCGGAGCCGGGCAGTCCTGGGGGCGCGGGGCCGTCCTGGGGGCGCGGGGCCGTCCTGGGGGCGCGGGGCCGTCCTGGGGGCGCGGGGCAGTCCTGGGGGCGCGGGGCCGTCCTGGGGGCGCGGGGCAGTCCTGGGGGCGCGGGGCCGTCCTGGGGGCGCGGGGCAGTCCTGGGGCGCGGGGCCGTCCTGGGGGCGCGGGGCCGTCCTGGGGGCGCGGGGCCGTCCTGGGGCGCGGGGCAGTCCTGGGGCGCGGGGCCGTCCTGGGGGCGCGGGGCCGTCCTGGGGGCGCGGGGCAGTCCTGGGGCGCGGGGCAGTCCTGGGGCGCGGGGCCGTCCTGGGGGCGCTGAGCTGCCGGGCAAGGCGGGAAATGGCGGCCCCGGCTGGGACGGAACAGGGCCCCACTGGGCTCCGGGCGGGACTGTGGGGAACCAGGGTGCCGGGGGGGGGGCCCTCCATGCCAACCCCGGGGTCCACGGAGGGCGGGCACCCGCACCCGGCCAAACGGGCAGGGCTCAGTGCCGCACCCACTGGGCCTCCGGCGTCCCGCGGCCTCCCCGGGGCCGGGCTCCTGGGGCAGCATCGGGGCCTGAGGAGTTGGCCTGGGGCTGGTGCGGCTGGGCCTCCGCCTCCGCCTCCGCTTCCAGGTCTGTCATCCCCGCACTGGGCAGCGCTCAGGACCCGCTGCAGGGCTGCGTGGGGGCTCAGGGGAAATACAGGAACCATCGCAGCCACTGGGGGTGGTGCGTTGCTGTGTGTGGGTATGGTGCGCATGTGTATATTTTGTATAGTGTTGTGTATGTGTTGTGTGGTTTTGTAGATGGTGTGTTGTGCATGTTATGTGTATGTGGTATGTGTGTATTGTGTGCTTATATGGTGTGTGTAGTGTATCTGTGTTGTGTGTGTATTGTGTATGTGGTGTGTGTTGTGTGTGTATTGTGTATGTGCTGTGTATGTGGTGTGTGTGTATTGTGTGTATATATGGTGTGTGTAGTGTGTATGTGGTGTGTGTAGTGTATATGCGATGTCTGTGTATCGTGTGTATGTGGTGTGTTGTGTGTTGTGTGTGTATTGTGTATGTGCTGTGTGTGTGGTGTGTGTGTATTGTGTGTATATATGGTGTGTGTAGTGTGTATGTGGTGTGTAGTGTATATGCGGTGTCTGTGTATTGTGTGTACATGGTGTAGTGTGTCGTGTGTTGTGTGTGTGCTGTGTATGTGGTGTGTGTGCATTATGTGCATGTATGATGTGTATGTGGTATGTGTGTATTGTGTGTATGTGATGTGGTGTGTCTTGTGTGTTGTGTGTGTATTGTGTGTATATCTGGTGTGTGTTTACTGTGAATTCACAGGCTCAGCACCAGGCCATGTCCCATGGGAGGTATTCAAGGGATATAAGAATCGGTAAGAACTGGTCTCTGCCTTTTGAGAGAAGTGGTTTACTGAGGGACAGATGAGATTCGTCACAGCTAAGCGTTATCAGGACATTCTGAGTTTCACACGTTTATAGGGTTTGCAGAAAGAAGGTTTGCTCTGTGCAGAGTGGAAACACTTCTGGGACTGACTTTCTTGGAGTTGGAAGGTGAGTCTAATTTAGACGAGCAGAGTGAAGGAAGGAGTGTTCCAGAAAGCACCACCGTTTGGTGCACTCTCCTTCCAGCTGTGGCGAGTGAGCAGCGTGCACCTGGGGGCTGGTGCTGGCACCTTCCCGCCACGTGTGGGCTCCGAGGCAGGCTCAGTTCAGGACGGGAACTGACAGCAGCTGGGGTCCTGTTTTCTCCAGGAAAATGTGCATTTTTACTGAAGTGACACGTGTTCATCTAACACTACTTTCTGATCAGCCTTTGACCAATGATTGAAGAAAATATTAAAAAGAAACCTGCAGATAGACGTGTTGTCAGCCCACCCTGCTCATCACATGTGGCTCAACTGCCTCCTCAACACTCTGTTTGTAAATCTGAGATTTCCTATCCTTGTTTTCTCGCCACCTTTTCCGTTTCTCCCGGAATATGGCAGCTTGTGTGCTGAGACTGAGCCTTCGACCCCTGCGTACTTTGTCGTGACTGTGAAGCAAATCTCCCCGTGGAGCTACCTCAGCTCATTATCTTCGCTACTTATTTCAGCTCCTGGATTTGGGGGATCTTTCTAATTAGGATTTTCTTTGGCAATTCACTTCTAATTTATTCGTTCTATCAGATCTCTCTCTCTTTTTTTTTTTGAGACCAAGTTTTACGCTGTCGCCAGGCTGGAGTGCAGTGGTGCTCTCTCAGCTCACTGCAGCCTCTGCCTCCTGGATTGCAATTCTCCTGCCTCATCCTCCCAAGTAGCTGGGACTACAGGCATACATCACCACGCCCAGCTAATTTTTGTATTTTTAGTAGAGATGGGGTTTCGCCATGTTGGTCAGGATGGTCTCGATCTCTTGACCTCATGGTCTGCCTGCCTCAGCATCCTAAAGTGCTAGGATTATAGGTGTAAGCCACTGCACCTGGCCAAAAATCATTTCTTTTTTATTTTGATTCTTTATAAAATCACTTGCTGGATGTAAAAGTACCTGAATCTTACCTTTATTCCTGTGTCTTTTAAAATACAACTCAGAAAAACAGAGTTTATTCTGTTATTCTTATGCAATAGTTTCCAGGGATGGTGTGTGTGTGCGTGTGTGAGTGTGTGTGTGTGTGTGTCGGAGGGTGAGGGCTGAGATACGAAGAGAGAGAGAGAACGAGGCAGAGGCTAAGTGCATAGTGTGGAGCAACAGGACAAGCTCAGCTGAGAGATTCCAGAAGGCCTTGGTGCTGAGCTGCCGAGCCGGGCTGGCTGTGAGTCTGGGTGAGAACAGTGTGTCCCGGAGCTTGACCTCCTTCACTCCTGAAACCAGGGCAACAGTTTCAGCTTTAAAACCGCTCCAGCAGACACAGACACACGGCTCCCTCAGTCTCTCCCTCTTGGCCGCAGCTCCATTTTCTTTTTACATCTGTATCTCCGTTCTTAGTGGAGTGAGAAATAGCTTCCCGTCACCCCCGATGCAACCTGGAGACATTTATCGGAGTCCTCTCAGGCCCTGATATTCAATAGAGAATAGAGCGCTCCCCTCTCTCTCCGACTGTTCTTGGCTGGCCCATTTCCTTCCCATTATGTTTGTCCTTCTCCTTCGGCCACTTTCTGAGGTCTTCAAATTTCACTCATTTCTGGACTCCTGAGTCAGGGCGCTGGCCAGAGTCACAAGCACGTCTTCCTTCCTCCATAGGGTGCTAAGAGTTCACAGAAAGGGGCTGTGATCCACCTGTCAGCTTCAGTGACTTTGCCGTGGAGAATGAGAAAGGACAGAGGTAACACACAGCCGTTTCAGAAAATATTATGTCAAACAGTGGATGTGTAACAAAACCAAAAAAAAAAAAAAAAAAAAAAGAAGAAAAAGAAAAAAAAACAGAGCTCTGGGCTCTGTTCTGAGAGTCTGGCTGACCTTGGCAGGTGGCGGTGGGGGAGGTGGTGATACTCTCTGCCAGCTTCTCTCCGTTTCTCCCAGGTGCTACCAAGTTGCTGCTGGGAGCTCTAGCTGAGCTAAAGGGCAATTGAAATAGATTGAGTTTGGCAGTGTGTAGGTGGCTCGGTAGAGATTTCAACCCCTACGGTCAAGATGAAACACATCTGTGATCTGTTTCAGTTAATTCTGTGGCCTTGGGCAAGTCTCTTTCCCTCTCTAGCCCTGTCTCCCCAGCAGTTACGTGAAGGATTTGGATGGGCTGTCTTACATTCCCTAGTCTCTTTCCCTCTCTAGCCCTGTCTCCCCAGCAGTTACGGGAAGGATTTGGATGGGCTGTCTTACATTCCCTAGTCTCTTTCCCTCTCTAGCCCTGTCTCCCCAGCAGTTATGGGAAGGATTTGGATGGGCTGTCTTACATTCCCTAGTCACTTTCCCTCTCTAGCCCTGTCTCCCCAGCAGTTACCTGGAGGATTTGGATGGGCTGTCTTACATTCCCTAGTCACTTTCCCTCTCTAGCCCTGTCTCCCCAGCAGTTACCTGGAGGATTTGGATGGGCTGTCTTACATTCCCTAGTCACTTTCCCTCTCTAGACCTGTCTCCCCAGCAGTTACGGGAAGGATTTGGATGGGCTGTCTTACATTCTCTAGTCACTTTCCCTCTCTAGCCCTGTCTCCCCAGCAGTTATGGGAAGGATTTGGATGGGCTGTCTTACATTCCCTAGTCTCTTTCCCTCTCTAGCCCTGTCTCCCCAGCAGTTACGTGGAGGATTTGGATAGGCTGTCTTACATTCCCTAGTCACTTTCCCTCTCTAGACCTGTCTCCCCAGCAGTTACGGGAAGGATTTGGATGGGCTGTCTTACATTCCCTAGTCTCTTTCCCTCTCTAGCCCTGTCTCCCCAGCAGTTATGGGAAGGATTTGGATGGGCTGTCTTACATTCTCTAGTCTCTTTCCCTCTCTAGCCCTGTCTCCCCAGCAGTTACGTGGAGGATTTGGATGGGCTGTCTTACATTCTCTAGTCTCTTTCCCTCTCTAGCCCTGTCTCCCCAGCAGTTACCTGGAGGATTTGGATGGGCTGTCTTACATTCCCTAGTCTCTTTCCCTCTCTAGCCCTGTCTCCCCAGCAGTTACGTGGAGGATTTGGATGGGCTGTCTTACATTCTCTAGTCTCTTTCCCTCTCTAGCCCTGTCTCCCCAGCAGTTACGGGAAGGATTTGGATGGGCTGTCTTACATTCCCTAGTCACTTTCCCTCTCTAGCCCTGTCTCCCCAGCAGTTACGTGGAGGATTTGGATGGGCTGTCTTACATTCCCTAGTCACTTTCAGAGGCTGTGCTCTTATGAAACCATTGCTATATGCTTTCTGCAGTAGCACGCTGAGTCCCGAAGGCACCCAGAGGAACCCGGGGTGTTGAGGCAGGGGGTCCGTGTGACAGCTTAAGTTGGGTGTCCGTTTAATCGCAGAGGTGCTGGAGGGGTTGACCAGTGAAAACCCTTTCCTGGAGATCTTCCCATTGGCTGCTATTCCCCCTCTTTCCCTAACATTTTTTGAATGCAAAATTGTCTACAATCCCATTTTAAGAAATTTCTCTAAATCACTATTTGCTGGCATTTTCCTCTTAAAGCAACTCAGTAGATTTTTCCTGCAATATCCTTCAAAAGTAGAGCTTTATTTGTTTGAGGCTGATTTATGGACAGGAGGAATGGTGGCCAAAGCCAGGGTTGAGCCAGGACCCAGGAAGCTGCAAGGTAACAAAGAGAGATACCTGGATACAGCACAGGAAGACTCTATGGCTCTCAAGAGCTGAGAAAGCTGTTTCTGAAACAACAGAGTTCCTGGAGGCTGAGGCCTTGAACTTGGCAAATTTGCATTATAAAACAAGCCATCCGGTTTGCTCTTTCATCTGCTCTTAAAAAGTACCAAGCTACAGGCTGGCAGTGCGGTGGCTCACTTGAGTAATCCTAGCACTTTGGGAGGCTGAGGCAGGTGGATCATGAGGTCGGGAGTTCAAGATCGGCCTGACCAATATGGTCAAACTGTGTCTCTACTAAAAGTAAGAAAGTTAGCAGGGCGTTGCGGCGGGTCTTCCTCTCCTCCTGCTTCAAAGGCTCCTGACTTGTGGTAGAGTGCAGTGTAGTCCCAGCTGCTCAGGAGGCGGAGGCAGGAG